ATATATATATATATATATATATATGCAAAAATATGTGTCACACGAAAACCTTTTCTACTTTGTCATACTTTTTTCCCCTAGAACTGTTGTTGATATATAAAAATTATATATCGTTTTGCATAAATAAACAGACCTGTATGTGGGTGATATTATATATATATATATATATATATATATATATATATATATATATATATATATATATATATATATATATATATGTAACGTACAGTTAACTCTCCACCCCGGATCTTTTCAACAAGTGTAGAGGTTTATGTCTTGTTTCCTGTTTAGGATTGGTATTCCAGATTTCTTCTAAAGTTTTCTCATTTTCTTTCACTCACAGTAGCCCTTGCGTCTTAATGGCATTATCGCCTTGGTTGGGGTGAATTGATTAACACACACACACACACACACACACACACACACACACACACACACATATATATATATATATATATATATATATATATATATATAGGTAATAATCCTTTGTAAAATAATCCAATTGAATCCTAATCATATAAAATATTAAGATTGATCCACTGCTCAGTGTATATATTATAACAGAGCATATAATTATAATTTACATAGAACAAAAATCCAAAGTTACTTTATTCAAATAGCTATTTCGACCCACAAGACTTATTTGTAGGTCTTATCAACTCAAAGATATGAAGAAATATCTCTGAGTTGACAAGTAAGTCTTGTGGGTCGAAATAAGTATTCGAATGAGATAACTTCGAATTATTATTCTATGCAATATATATATATATATATATATATATATATATATATATACATTCACCTAAAACTCTAGAGGGACAGATTGATCAGTAAACAAAGTGGAATAGCTGTAGAGAGATGTCTGCGTGTGTTGTTGTTGTTGTTATCATTATTATTTCAATTATTTCAGTGTATGTATGTTTTTGAAATAAATGTCCCGTTTTTATTTTAAAATGGTAAATAATAAATATTATATTGTTCTTGGTTCATATATTTTTACAATCTTGTCAATAAACATCGCGGTGCCAGGAAAAATATTTTCGTGGAATACGTGCATTTCTCAAACCACGATATTTCTTTTTTTTATGTGCCGTGTCACCACAGGACGTAGGCTATCATGGCTCTCCACAATTTCCTGCTGTCATGTTTTTTTCACTGGCAGAGGAAGCACAGCGATTATCCAAATAGGTTAAATGTTTCCCCAACAGTGTATGACGGGCAAGAATTAGGGCAAAAAAGACACCAAACCGCTCCACCTGCTTTGCTTATATAGCAATGCGATTAGAACATTCTAGAGAGTTCTACAATTTTCCATTCAGTTCTCTTGGGCAGATTCGTATACATGCAATTTGTATTGAACAGATCTAGATGTTAACGATCTCAACAGCACCTCCCCACCAACATTGACGCTACACTAAAAGCACTAATAGCAAAGTCTCTCTCTAGGTTTGGGTGTTCTCCTGGGTCGTCTAGGGTTGTTTAGTCCATATTCCGGTACAAGAGGTTTGGTTTGGGATAGTCTGGCACTTCTTTCAAGACTTCAATGATCAGTTGGAAGCTCTGAAACATTGTCCATCTCAGAGCTAGAATCGTAGCCGCCCCCCCAATCCGCAGAAGCGTAACGCGGACGTAAATGTTACCAGTGTCGTGTTAATACTACGCAATGAAGAAAAACCTTAACATTGAAGCAACGAGTACCAATGACTTCGTGACGACTGCTGGTACTCATCGGGGATGTTTGTCTCGATGAGGTCCAGAGTACAGTGCATATACCTGATCACCAGCTCTGTACTGCCTCGTTACTTTGGCGACATCTCTCGAGTTTGGCATCATTTGATGACACCTTGGATTTCTTGCCCCGGGTTATGTGTGCTGGCGAGGACAACAGAGAATCAATCCTAGACCGTATCTGCCGGGACATCAAGAGTTCGCTTGGAGAGAATCCACAGGATGTCGGGGTTCCCCGATACTGCATCAAGAAGTCTTGAAGAGGTCGCTTCTTGGAGAGAGAAGATTTTCTCAGTGCTTGCTTGAATGACTGTGCCAAACATTCTGCTGCTCTGTTGATAGCAAGACGGTACGGTGCTACTGTCAGGTGCGTGCTCCCACGTTCTTGGCACCAGCTCTGAAATTCCCCAGAAAAGAAAGTCAGTGCATTATCCGTAACCAGCGTGTGAGGGCAATGGATGTGGATGACATTGGGTGAATATATATAAACGGATCGTCAGGGAAAGTTTTGCCAAACTTTCCCTGACGATCCGTTTAGGTGAAACCTAGGTAGGTTGGTCTGGCTCACTAGGTGTATCTAGGTCTGCTCTACGGTTGTATTGAGCTCTTTTGTTAGTTAGTTGTTACTCGTATCGGGTTTTTTCTTTTGGGCTTCAGACCTGCATCTGTGCGATTTTTTGTCGGCAGAAGTTCATGTTTGTAGCTCTTTCTTTTTTAAAACCTTTTTTCCTTCGAGATTGATTTGATTAGCAAATCAAAAATTCGAGGGTTTTTCGAAACGAGTCTAGTTATCTATATTTATTATATATATATATATATATATATATATATATATATATATATATATATATATATATGAGTGTGTGTGTGTGCATGTAAAATTTCAGATAAGATATATGTGTAAAATGACAATCTGAATAAAGACAAAAAGAAAAATTTATACTTGCCGACGCGTTTCGTCCTCTGAGGAACTTTATCAAGGCATTGAGGATGAAAGATATTTTTTCCTTTTGTCGTTATTCATATATATATATATATATATATACAACGCACATGGCCTAAAAAGTGCACTCAACTATGAAACAGACTGTTGCCTCTCGATGCTAACCTCAGTGTTTCCTTTCATTCATATATATATATATATATATATATGTTTCCTTATATATATATATATATATATATATATATATATGAAAGGAAAACATATATATACTGTGAGACTGTGAGAAAGCATCAGTAAACACGAACCAGTTTATGGCATGATTCCCGTGCAAGCGGATTCATGACTATTCTGGCAACATCCATGGGTGAACTGCAGGCTTGGATGTCGTATTTTGATGTTCGCCGCACGACTCCCATCGTCGACTAGCCATCTCAATTGCTGTATCAATAACGGGACAGTAGATAGAGATTCTTGCCAACTGCTTTATACGTTCCAGGCCAAAATGTTCGATATGCAATAAATCTAGGATGTTGGTCTGTAAACTCTGTGGAATCACAACTCTTGATCAATGGATGAGTGAATCCGATAATTTCCAAAACCTTTCGACTTCATCAGCGGTCTCAGTGTGCGTTGGGAAATTAACTGTAATCGAGATGTCAGGTCAGGACTAATAAAATTGCAGATTCATCTTTGGATTTTTATAACATATTATGCTCGGTCTGTTTTTAGGCATCTCTTAATCTGATTAAAGTGATCTACAAGTGTATTAATCTACAAGTGTTTTATTTCCGCTGTTAATCTAAGGATATGTCGCCTTATTTCTTTTCAATACAGGTCAGTTATAGTTCGTCTTGTTTTTAATCCGTCTGAGTAGGTACTATCCCGATCTATGGATTGAACTCATAATTACTATGCCATTTCCTTCGAGAAAAAAAGCTCCAGATGGCAAGCGACCAAAGGCATCTGCATTGCCATCATCCGCCGTTTTCATCAGCGGTCTCAGTGTGCTTTGGTGGCCACCATTCGCCAACATAGCGCATCACTGTATTTATCACTCGATCTTTCCCAGACGCTCGACGGAGTATGTTGGCATCTACAGGTTTGACTAGAAGACTGAGAACTTCGATGGTGCACACCATGTCTATGTCTTCTCCACTTTCATCCCTGTCGAAGTCGTCTCCAGATGGCAAGCAACCAAAGGCATCTGCATTGACACCATCCGCCGTTTTCCGGTACTCTATTGTGTAGTCAAACTAGTTTAATTACAGGCCTCATCTGTGTGCAGCGAGTAGTGGTCTCACTTTATTTTAGGGCCGAACAGTCCCGTCAGTGGTTTATGATCAGTAACCAGTATGAACAGACGTCCGTAGAATTTCCGTAAGCCAAAGATAATGGCTATGGCTTCCTTGTGGATTTGGCGGTAATTTATTTCTACAGTCGGAAGAGTTTTGGACATGTATGTAAATTGGCGCTCGCTTCCATCCGGATAGCGTGAGACAGAACTGCTCCAATTCCGATGTTGGATGCTTCCCAAGCCAGTCCAAGAGGCTTGTTTGGGTTAAAATATACACGGCTTTGATCTGAAGATAATACGTTTTTCAACTGTTCAAACACTGCTTGTTCTTCGTCTCCAGTCTTCCAGGGGGTTGCTTTTTTGGTTAAATGGTAAGGAGGCTCGGTCATAGTGGCCAAGTTTGGGATGAACTTCCTGTAGAGGTGAACCGAGCCTTAGAAAGACTTTAAGCTTGAGAAGTCCTAAGAGGTGGCATCTTCATGACTACATCGACCTTGGATCCCTGCGTGAGTTCGTCGGCTGCTAAGGTGTGGCTAAGATATTTCACACTGGGTAGTGCGAACAGGCACTTTTCACGGCGGTATCTGGGTTCTTCCTCGTTCAAACGAGAAAATAAACGCCTCAGGTTGCTCAACTGATCATTGGCGTCTTGCCCTCTGACAAGCATATCGTCTTGGAAGACGGCAAAAACAGACAGATCACTGGTTAGGTTCTCCATGATCTCATGTGGTCTGATTACTGGTCAAGATTCTGCACCTTTGTTGTGGCCAAAGCCGTACCTGATCAGCGCAAGGCTCAGGTTTTCTTGACAAATCAAACTGCAACCATCTATAAACAACTGACGAATGTGGCTACCGAACAGAATCCGCTAAGCATATTAACGAGTTGACGATGGAAGAATTCATGAAAGAACAATTTGATCTGAAACGTTTCAACGTTTCATTGTGCGAGAACGTTTCAAGTTCTGTAGTGACATGCAACGGAAGCCAGGCGAAACTCTCCAGAAGCTGGCAGCGCGTATACGTCAAGATGTTGCTACGTGACTTCCCTCCAATCACCGACCCACAAAATGGAGCTCTTAGACAGAGGTTTATATGTTCTGTCAACAAAGAAGCTGTCTTGAAGGTTCTTTTCAAGATCAAGGACACAGAGCTGGACTTTGCCCGTGCGGTCCAGGTCGCTATTGATACCGAAGACGCGGAGAAGGTTACAAGGTAACTGTTTACGGATGCAAGACCGGGCCTGTCAACAAGGACAAGCAGAGCCAGAACAAGGCTCAAAAAAAAAAAAAAAAAAAAAAATCAAAACAAAACAAACAAAAAACAAAAAAAATAAAAGAATAAAAACAAGCAACCCTATTCACTTACTCTGGGAGTGGCATCGGATTTTAGAATATATTAGGGTGATCTTGTTCATTATATAAATACAGTATAGAATCTTTCTTTGTCTTTTAAAAGAGTTATCTGGATTTGGTTGTTATTTACAAATGTCAAGTTTAAAACTTCTCTTATGTCATTGATACCAGCATTTTTTTTTCATTTTCTGAATTTTAAAACTTTTTTTTTAAAACTGTTTTTAAAAACATTTTTAACGGGATTTTTTTCGGAAAGACATGCCCCAAAATTGGGGGATAATAATGACTTATCTTAAATGAAGATTAAACGGATATATACATTTATTAATTTATGTAAATTTATGCAAATTTTTGTTCTTTTATTAAAAATGTATATATCCGTTGTTTCTCAATATATATATATATATATATATATATATATATATATATATATATATATATATATATATATATGTGTATATATATATATATATTGGAGCGGGTAGAAAGAAGATCGATGTGTTTTAGTGGGCTCAGCAGTTTTTAATCTGTTTGTCTGAATCATCTTTAAGAAGCGAGAGCAAGATCTAAAAGGTCAGCCAATCTAACAGTTATCTCATCTCACAATCCTCACTCTTGCTCTATATGTGGCCTCCTTTATAAATCACTAGCGGGTCTTAAGTGCCACTTAAGATTATCGCACAAACTTTCATAACTGAATCAACTAAGCTGTCAGATCCTCATACGTCGAAACCGACGGGAGAGTCTATATATATATATATATATATATATATATATATATATATATATATATATATATATAATCCTTTTGAGTCAGCTTACCCTGAAGATCTATTTAGGTGGAACCTAGGTAGGTAGTTCCTGGCTCACTAGGGTTTTTTTATACTCTGCTGTACTTAGCGTATTGAGCACTTTACGTTTTTTCTTATTTACTTGATTGGGTCTTTTTTTTGGGACTAGAAATTATGCCGCTGGACGATTTTTTTCGGCCTCCTCGGATATCTCTAGTTCTTTCTTTTTTCCCAAATATTTTACCTAGATACCATTTGTTTTAATATATTTTTATTTTCAAATTGTGTTATCAGATGTTTTTTTTACACCAACCGAGTATAGTTTTTAACATATATAGGATACAGGTTCGAATCCTGTCGAAGGATGAATATTTTCTATGAAAATTTCTCGAACATTGAGGCCGGTAAATGTTATTTAATACTGTTTATTATAAACAGAGCATTTACTTAAATACTTGTATCTATAAAAAGAATGTTAAACATAAAAATGTCTTTAAATAATTGTCGGACTTTCTCCATTTCATAATGTGTGACGTCATTTGTTTACATTTGGATACGCATTGATCTGATATGAATGTACGTGAGAGATTCATGGAAGATTGAAGTTTATGAGCAGTAAATTCGACCTTGCCAACCGAACGATCCTTTGTGGCCGAGAGGTAAGGTACGTCAAGCTAAATGACGGTTCCGTATAGGATGCAGGTTCGAATCCTGTCAAAGAACGATTATTTTCTATGAAAATTTCTCGGACATTCAGGCCGGTAAATATTATTAAAACTGTTTATTATAAACAGAGCATTTACTTAAATACTTGTATCTATAAAAAGAATGTTAAACATAAAAATGTCTTTATATATATATGTGTGTGTGTAAAATTTCAGATATAATATATGTGTAAAAGGACAAAATGAATAAAGACAAAAAGAAAAATTTATACTTGCCGACGCGTTTCGTCCTCTGAGGAACTTTATCAAGGCATTGAGGATGAAAGATATTTTTTCCTTTTGTCGTTATTCATATATATATATATACAACACATGGCCTGAAAAGTGCAACAGTGTGTTTCATGGTTGAGTGCACTTTTCAGGTCATGTGTGTTGTTGTGCGATAATGGCCACAACGAGGAGAATTATTCATTCTTTATTCACCGAAGCGTTTTCTAGATTATTCTCACGGCAGCCAAATCTCGGGACAAGTCTTTCCCAGAGTTCGTCATAAATTAAAAAAAAAAAGCGGCAGATCGTTTGACTTCCTCAAATACTGCCATTAGTGTTTTGACCTATCCCAGGAATCGAACACCGATAGCGTTCACATACTTTCTAAACAGTCAAAGCTTTTGGCATAAACTCAGTTGCTCTGGCTTTACGCCTCTCAGGGAGATGATTAATAGGTTTGGAAAACCGAGACAAAGCCTTTTTATAACTCCCGGTACAATGACAATAAAGTCTCTATCATTTTTCTTCCTACGCTTTCTGTTATTCCCGCCTTTTACCGAGTTTTTTTTTTTCAAGGAAACGAACTAAAATTGCTACTCATATCACAAATATTGATATCAGTGCGGTCATTATTAGTGATTATAATATCATTGAAGATGATAGCAATAATTTATTTCCTCCGCCTGCTACTTCAATATTTGGTCGTCTTTTACGTTTGTAGCCTCCCGAAAAGATCAGAACGAACCGCCATTTTGAAACTTATACTGCACCGAAGCTTTCGGGTTTGAAATGGCTTGCACTGGCAAAGCCAATAATTAGCGAATAGTACAGAATCTAATGAGTGGATTTTAATTAATGTATTTGTCAGCATTTTGCCATCATCTGGTGTTGGAACTAAACCCTGAGGGCAGGGTACGGGTGCAGAGGACGAGACTAGCGGTAGCTTGCCTCGTCACAGCTTATTAAAACGCTACTCTTTGTTCTGTCGCATTTTTTTTCTTTTCTTTTTCCTATCATCCCGATCCATTGCTTTTTTTTTGTTTCCTTTATTCTCATCGTTATCTCCGACCTCTCTCAAAACAGAACCCTTCCTTCAGCAATATTTTATTTGCTTCTATTAGGATGTATCAAAAGTATTTTCAGTTTTTATAGACTTTTGTGGATGTGTGTTGTGGCGTAAGGGATATTAGTTTGGGATATGAGAAAGCATCCAGTCGGGTTCATTGCATTCACTTACGCGCAAATACATGAGGGTTGTAACCAAATCAAATCATGAGGGTTGTAACCTAGAAAGGGTTACTGACTGATGAATAACCAAAATGGAGGTTGGAAATGAAATGGTAATCTTTATAACATCAACAAAATACAATACTCGCCAGTGGCGTGAAGTAGGTAAACCACTGCTAGTGGTGGACCACTTAGCATATTACGATATTTACCTGCCTCCCCATGAAATAGGATACAGCACAAAGCCAAATCCGAGACCGTAGGCTCGCGCAAAAATTTCCCGTAGAGCCCCAATACGCGGGATCAGTTATCTGTCTACCCCCGGACGAGACTCTGCCCTTCTGCATAGTCTCATCCCGGTTCCTCTTTGCCCGAAGGCAGAGAGTTCGACCCGGCAAGAGCTTCCCACGTTGACAACTCCCGCTGAAAGCGTAGACAGCATATAATCCCCACTTACAATAGTGTCCAACATCTTTGTTGCGTAATCCGAGATGAAATCCGGTCTCAAATGAATGACAAACGCAGGAATGAAATATAGCAATTAAATGTATTGACGCAGTAATACAATTGGTAATACGGTTAGTAGATCCAGAAATGCTGTTAGTAGCAATAATAATATATATACAGTCTGGGAAATTCAGTATCAAAGTAGGACTTCCTTCTGAGCCTACGTGCTCGCAACTGTGACTCCTAAAAAGCGGTTACCTCACACTCTCACTCTCTCACTGTATTACTGTCTCCACTCTGACTTCCGGGTATTCACCGGCAGCAGTACAAGTACACACTAGGCGAGTCCACTTGTATGAAAAAGGGGTGAACCCCTTAACAGTCTTTATGAGGAGAGGAACATATCCATTAGTGTTCATAGGTCCGGTATATAACGAATTGTATGTGACTGACGACATGTTGAGATACCTCTTAAAGATTTTGATTCAATTTCTGCATCTCTCTCCCTCTCTATGTCAATCTCCCTCTCTATTTCCTTCTCTCTCTAACTCTCTCTAACTCTCCTTCTCTCTCTCTCTCTCACTATATATATATATGTAAATCTGATCTATCTATCTATCTATCTATCTATCTATCTATCTATTTGGCTTACGGCCACATGACGTTAAAACCCAGGTTCCCGAACGATCACCGATGCTAAGCAACGTCAAATCTGGTAAGTACCTAGATGGGTGACTGCTTGATAATACCAGGTGCTTTCAGCTTGAACGTGAAGGTGGTGTAAGAGATAATGGCTCGGAATTGTTATTCGGAGAGCCGGGTTCCAATTTCCGTTGGTTTCGATATCTTAAATTACATGTAAATACGCTTAGGACAGATAGGAATCCACCTCTTCTCCCACCAGCTATGGGTTAATTAGTAAGACTTGAATCACTAAATCATTATTATTTTTATTAAATTGAAAGGTTGATAAGCGGTAGAAAACCAATCTATCTATCTGTCGCAGCCTCTTTGTTTTGATTCTATCTATCTATCTATCTATCTATCTATCTATCTATCTATCTATCTATCTATCTAACTTAGTCTCTTCGTTTTCTTTCTTTCTTTCTTTCTTTCTTTCTTTCTTTCTTTCCCAGTCTCTTCGTTTTCAATCTATCTATCTATCTATCTATCTATCTATCTATCTATCTATCTATCTATCTATCTATCTCAGCCTCTTTGTTTTGATTCTATCTATCTATCTATCTATCTATCTATCTATCTATCTATCTGTCTATCTTAGTCTCTTCTTTTTTTCTTTCTTTCTTTCTTTCTTTCTATCTATCCCAGTCTCTTCGTTTTCATTCTATCTATCTATCTATCTATCTATCTATCTATCTATCTATCTATCTATCCCTGTCTCTTCGTTTTGAATCTATCTATCTATCTATCTATCTATCTATCTATCTATCTATCTATCTATCTATCTATCTATCTATCTATCTATCCCTGTGTCTTCGTTTTGATTCTATCTATCTATCTATCTATCTATCTATCTATCTATCTATCTATCTATCTACAGAGGTTGGAAATGAAATGGTAATCTTTATAGCATCAACAAAACGCAATACTCGCTAGCGACATGAAGTAGGTAAACCACTGCTACTTAGACAGCATATCATCCCCACTTGCAATAGTGTGCAACGTATTCATGAGCATTGTGACACAGCTATTAATGTTCATAGGCACGGTATATAACAATAAGTTATGAATCCATCTTTTCACATCCACCTCAAGTTATGGGTTGAATAGCCTTGGTTGCCAACCAGTCAACTGCAGAAAGAAACGGCAAACTGCGCGAAAAATCTGTGCCTAGTCATGAATCTAAAGAGACAGGATTGTCTAAGCGTGTATCACGTATGGTACTTAACAGCCTGATAGGTATTTACTGCAAAACTTATATGCATATGCAATGCTCATTATATGATATCTTTTAATGACCTTATCTATTTGGGTGCTGTTAGTTGTTTTTCTCCTAAAAATACCTATTAAAATAACCAACAATGCATTTTATCTGTGGTGGAAGGCATATAATTACCTTCAAAATATTTTGTTTTCGATAATATGCTGCTAAACAAAATCAACCAGCCAACCAAAATGAAAACTCTTTCATGATATTAATCTATATAATATCTGTTTGTATCCTTAAAGAGGTTACAATCAGACAAAGGGGGTACTCAAGTGAAGGAACAGCAACACGTGCGTAGATGAAAAAAGAGAGGTTTATTGTAAAAGAGAATACACTACTGAAAAACAGGGAATCGGGTGGCAGGCTATTAATTCCCGAAGAAAACCCCTAAGTATATCCTGTGCTCACCATATATAGTTACTGATATAGTCAGTCCACATAGGCGATAGGAAGTGTGGGACATTCCATTACAATATCTTACAATTTCTTAAAGAAATCAAATTGTATTAAAAAAAAACTTCAAGAAAACTACAGCATAAAACATAGCACCACTTCTAATAACCATTCCCACACAAACATACACATGTACAAAAGTTGAGTATTATCTACCATGTATTCAACTGTGAAAGCAGAATAACGTATATAATATTTTCATTTTTTCTAATGATCTCAATAAAATTTAATTTCAGCATAAAGTGTTGATATGTCGTTAAACAAACCAATCAATCAATAAAAAGACTAAAGGCATTTTAAAGCAACATAATCGATGACTGATGACAGTTCATTTCTGGGATTTATTTCAAATAACCCCTGCTTCCCTACCTAAAGTTCAGCCAATATAAGGCCCAAGAACCACTTAAGATAGAGAGCTATTGAAAGAGCTGCGTGATATGAATGTAAGAGGAGGAAACACGACTTAAATATAATGAAGGATATATATATAAACAGTTGACCCCAAAGTTGAAAAGATTAACATTGCAGTGTTCGGGAAAGCATTGGGGGATGTGGGTTATGGCGTAATGTGGATAGCGGCCCGGAATTGGGGGTAAAATTTTTTTTTACCAGCAATAGATTTTTGGAGGTAAAATTATTACCGGAAATTTTTTGAATGAAAAAATTTTACCAGAAATATATTTTTTGAAGGAAAAATTTTTACCAGAAATAGATTTTTTGAAGGAAAAAATATTACCAGAAATAGATTTTTTGGAGGAAAAACTTTTACCAGAAATACATTTTTGAATGAAAAAATTTTACCAGAAATAGATTTTCTGAAGGAAAATATTTTACCAGAAATATATTTTTTGAAGGAAAAAATTTTACCAGAAATAGATTTTCTGAAGGAAAAAATTTTACCAGAAATAAATTTTTTGAAGGAAAAATTTTTACCAGAAATACATTTTTGGAGGAAAAAATATTACCAGAAATAGATTTTTTGAAGGAAAAAATTTTACCAGAAATAGATTTTTGGAGGAAAAAATATTACTAGAAATAGATTTTTGGAGGAAAAAATTTTACCAGAAATATATTTTTTGAAGGAAAATTTTTACCAGAAATAGATTTTTGGAGGAAAAAATATTACTAGAAATAGATTTTCTGAAGGAAAAATTTTACCAGAAATAGATTTTTTGAAGGAAAAAAATATTACTACCAATAAAAATTTTATCGGTCTTAAATAACCCATTGAGGTTGATATGCCGTAAAACAAAACAGAGCAAACCAAACCAAACCATAGACATTTCTATTTTTCATTCTTTATTCTCTTCCGTGATGTTCCTTCATTCCATGAAAGGTTGCTTTTCATTCATAAAATAATCGCTTTCTCTTTTTCATTCTTTATTTTCCGTCTGTAAATGTTCTTTTTAAACCTGAATTCTTTATCCAGTCGTTAAATTAAATTCTCCTTAATTTACTTTAATTCATTTCCCCTCTTTTCTTTTTCATCCTATGATGTTTCTTTTCAGTCTTTTCAGAATATCGCCCCTTATTTCATTGCTTCTTTTCTCTTTTTAAATTTTTAATTTCTTCTCTTTCAACATTTGCAAGTGACACCCCCCACCCCATTAAATCTACTTTTTGTTTCCCACTTTTTAAATAATTTTACTCCAAGCAGTAGAATGCAGGAGTTTACAGAGAATGAAAATAAACGAGAAGTTGAAAATGGGGAGAATTGACCAAAAAAGGAACAGACTTCAGTAAAACGTTAGATAGCGATTGGCATTTTATTTAGTTTTTGAAGATTGTAGTTATCAGGGAAGCAAGAAATAGGAATGGATTTCCACAGGTGAGAAGTGCGAGAAAAGAAACTGTTTGAGTGGAATGCAAGCGGCGGTTGCATCTAGATAGTTCAACAGTAAAACAATGAGACCTAGTTGCCAATCTAGTAGCGAACTTAAATTCATGTAGTCACGACACCAGGTAAAAAGGTCCGTCCGAGCAATTACCAGGAAAATATTTGTAGAACAGGCAAAGGGAAGCCACGTCACGTCGGTGAGAAAATGACTGAAAACGTGATAACTTGGCCAGGACCGATTATATTGCAGATCTTTCTCTGGATTTTGTCGAGAAATCTCGAGATTTACAGTAAGAGCACCGGACCAGTTATGGCAAAGGTAGTCGATGCACGGAAGAATAACAGATTTATAAATGTGCAAGATGGATTCTGACAAGAAAATGTTTTTTTTTTTTGGCACGGCACAGTGAACCAACCTCCCTTGCAGCAAACGTAGCAACTGACTCGATATAATCATTCCACTTCATGTTAGTTGAAAACGTGAGGTTAAGAAGGCGTAGAGTGTCGCTTTCTTTTCATCATCAGCCATCCTGATGGCAGACAGAAAGTGTTCTCTGTGGTGATTAAATGAAAGCAATTTTGTTTTGGAGTCATTTTAATTTAGAAGCCATTTCTTGCCCCAGTTAACCATTGATTGGCGGTCCTTTTCAAGTGTAGTTGCCAGGTTTACTTCGTCTGATCCGTTGGATTTGTTACTAAGATAGAAGTAAATCGTAGTGTCATCTGCGTAAATGCCTAGTTGGGAACTGATGACATCAGGGAGATCTTTTTCTATTCCTTTTTTTCCCTTTCTGTAACGCTCTTTGTATTTGATCTTTTTTCCCTTCGTCTTACGTCATCACCACACTTCTTGAACATTTTCTACTTCCTAACTTATTTACAACGATATTTTAATAATTTTTCCTTTTTAAAGGACTTTTGTTGTATAGGTTGTCCATAAAGTCTCTTTACAATTTAAAAAATATATTACAAAATCAATTGATACTAAATCTTAATCAGATGTGTTCTCTGTACTCAATAGTTATCAAAGGTTTTACACACACTGGATTTGTATATTTCAGGCATCTTGTTGAGGAAAGAGGTACTAAAAATGGCTACTCCTCAAGAAGTGGCACAATGTGTGTCATGGTTTATTGAAACAAAATCGGAAACGCAGACTCAGTGGGGTTATGTTAAAGATGTGTATCGAACAAAGATATGGGACATCTAATTGCTACCACTGATAAGGCTACGCTACAGCGAACATGGCAAGACATCGAGTGCCATCTTGTTGTGCTTCTTTCTATGGGATTATGTTAAAGATGTTGTGTATCGAACAAAGATATGGGACATCTAATTGCTACCATTGATGAGGCTATGCTACAGTGAACATCAAAAGAAATCGAGTGCTGTCTTGATGTGCTTCGAACAAGTAATGGCGCCCATATAGAGGTGGATTAAATTAGTTACTTCATGATTACTTCATTATCTACTCCTCATTTTGTAACAATTTCCACATATTTCTTTGTTCATTTGCTTTTGTAATAATTTTTTTACTACGATATTTTAATATTTTTTTTCTTTTTAAAGAACTTTTTTTGTACACAGTGTCCATAATGTCTCTTTACAATTAAAATATATATATATATTAAGAAAGCAATTGATGAGATATTTTAATCAGATTTACTCTATGTACACAGTAGATAGCAAAGTTTTTAATCACATTGTGTTTGTGTATTTAAGATATCCTGTTGATGAATGATGTATTAATAAATGAACCCCTAAAAATGGCTACTCCTCAAGAAAAGACGCAATGTATGTCATGGTCTATTGAAACAGAATCGGATACACAAAGTCAGCAAAACTACAGAACTTCTTTCTATGGGGTCATGTTAAAGATGTCACTATCGAACAAAGATACGGGACATGACTGATCTAAAGCAAAAGATCACTGATGCCATTGTCACCATTGATGAGGCGTTAAATCAAGTAGCGTCTTCATATGCTTCGTACAACTAATGGCGTCCATATAGAGGTGGATTAAATTTAAAAAAAAAACTTTATTATCTGCTTCTCATTTTGTAACAAGTTCCACATACTTCTATGTTCATTTGCTTTTGTAATAATTTTTTTAAATTCTGAAGTGACTTTATTGACACCCTGTATTTCTGTTCCGCCATATTTATTTTTATTCCTCTCTGTTTTTTCGTTTTAGGAAGCCGTCGGCTGTTTTGTTTATTTTTTGGCGTTGTTCATTTTTTTGTGTATCGTTTAACGCCTAACTCAATCTTTTCCCGACATGCAACTGTCTACTTCCGCTTTCTCTTCTCTCTTTTCTTTTTATAT